GCAACACTGGTATCACACTATATGCCGGACAAGACATTGAGATACCGGTGTATGGTATCCATCACTCGGAGGAGTTCTATCCCAATGCCAATAAGTTTGACCCTGATAGGTTTATGCCCGACAATAGACACAACATAATCCCCTACACATACCTACCCTTTGGTGCCGGTCCTCGCAATTGCATTGGAATGAGGTTTGCATTAATGGAAGCAAAGTTAGGTTTGGCTCACATTGTCAGGAGGTATCGGTTTGTGAGGTCTAAACAGACAGCCGTTCCCCTCGACTTCCGTACGGTTACCCGTCTTTGTGCCGCTAAGAGTGTTGTGGTCGGCCTTCACAAGAGATAATTGTGAGGATTAAGTGAAATATAATTTGTAGTTATATTTAATTAATTGTTCGCGTATTAAGTTAAGTAGGTTTTCAATGAAATAACTTAGACTTCTATTAATATTTTTGTTTCTTATAATGTTTACATAAAGGTTATTTTAAAAGCAAATGTTTTATTATTTAATTTAGTGATAAATATTTACTATTTGTATTTAATTTTAATGAAATTGTATAAAAGACAATAATTTTTATAATAAAATGACATTTAAATAAAAATTACTATGTAAATTGTTGTTGATGAATCTAACCTACATAAAACTTTATTTTTGTAATAAATGTTTATTGATTTCTTAATACAATAAAATACTTCAATTCTGAAATTATTGTAAAGTGAAAAATTGTTTGATTTTAGTAGAAATAGTTAAATACATTATACAATTAGAGATTATGAAAATGTTTAATTATAGTCTAATCATATTTATACTAATAATTAAGATGATTATTAGTAATGCTAACAATTTAATTATTGCCACAACAAACGTGAGTAATAATTATGTTAATTATAGTAATTTACAAAATAATTTTTGTCAGATAGTCACCCCCATATGTATATTTGGCAAATACTAGTGGGGTTAATAGTAAACCTCAATTAGTAAAGGGATTGGATCTCAATATAATTGGAGTATTTGAGCAAAAATTGAATTTTACGTATCATATCGTTGACTGTATGAACGATTGGGGAACACAAGTGTCTCATAATAATTGGACCGGAATTGTAGGCCTTTTATCCAAAAATGTATATCTTTATCTAATATATTCATATGGATATAAGTAATCTATTACTTCAAGACGTTTAGCTGTTAATGTTATACTCCCAATACCTATATCAGCTTGCTGAAAAAAGATTATTTGACAAAATATTGTTTTATCATACAATAGTTTATAATGTATATTAGATAAAGATATACATTTTTGGATAAAAGGCCTACAATTCCGGTCCAATTATTATGAGATACTTGTGTTCCCCAATCGTACATACAGTCAACGATATGATACGTAAAATTCAATTTTTGCTGAAATACTGCAATTATATTGAGATCCAATCCCTTTACTAATTGAGGTTTACTATTAACTTCACTAGTATTTGCCAAATATACATATGGGGGTGACTATCGGACAAATTATTTTGTAAATTACTATAATTAACTTAATTATTACTTACGTGTGTTGTGGCAATAATTAAATTGCTAGCATTACTAATAATCATCTTAATTATTAGTATAAATATGATTAGACTATAATTAAACATTTTCATAATCTCTAATTGTATAATGTATACTAAATTTTTACTAAAATAAAACAATTTTTCACTTTACAATAATTTCAGAATTGAATTATTTGATTAAGAAATCAATAAACATTTATTATAAACTAAAGTTTTATGTAGGTTAGATTCATCAACAACAATTTACATAGTATTTTTATTTAAATGTCATTTCATTATAAAAATTATTGTCTTTTATACAATTTCATCGAAATTAAATACAAATAGTAAATATTTATCACTAAATTAAATAATAAAACATTTGCTTTTAAAATAACCTTTATGTAAACATTATAAGAAACAAAAATATTAATAGAAATCTAAGTAATTTAATTGAAAACCTACTTAACTTAATACGCGAACAAATAATTAAATATAACTACAAATTATATTTCACTTAATCCTCATAATTATCTCTTGTGAAGGCCGACCACAACACTCTTAGCCGCACAAAGACGGGTAACCGTACGGAAGTCGAGGGGAACGGCTGTCTGTTTAGACCTCACAAACCGATACCTCCTGATAATGTGAGCCAAACCTAACTTTGCTTCCATTAATGCAAACCTCATTCCAATGCAATTGCGAGGACCGGCACCAAAGGGTAGGTATGTGTAGGGGATTATGTTGTGTCTATTGTCTGGCATAAACCTGTCAGGGTCAAACTTATTGGCATTTGGGTAGAATTCCTCCGAGTGATGGATACCATACACCGGTATCTCAATGTCTTGTCCGGCATATAGTGTGATACCAGTGTTGCCTAACTTGTAGTCCTTTTGGGCTTTCCTTTCGAGTCGTAAAACCGGTGGATAGAGTCGGAGTGTCTCAGAGAGGACTGCATCGAGAAGTGGGAGTTTAGTCAACACTTCGTAACCGATCTCCCCGTCCGAGTCGACGGCCCCCTCCACCTCTTCATACAGTCTCTCCTGAATGTGTGGATTGAGTGCCAATTCATACGAACAGAACGTCAGAGTAGTGGCCGTTGTCTCATACCCGGCCACGAAAAATATCCATCCCTGGGCTTTGATTTCATCATCGCTCAGGTGTTTGTTTGTGATATTTATTGACAGTGTCTTTCTCTCGACCTCCCGCTCCTCCTCGCCTAATATTTTAAACAAATTAAAATCAGTTAATTTAAAAAATTAAAACTTTAAGCAGTGTTAAAGTGATTGAAACTAACCGTCATTGACGTGATGGCTTTCACTGGTGTCCACCTCTTCGTGTGTGTCATCAGTATTTGTATTATTGTTTGCGTCCACAAGAAGTTGAATGAAATCATTGTATTTCTTACCATTTTTAACAGATTTTCTTTCATTGATTCGCTGTTTTGTCACATCGAAGAAGAACTCATTGACACTTTCGTATTTGTATTATTGTTTGCGTCCACAAGAAGTTGAATGAAATCATTGTATTTCTTACTATTTTTAACGGATTTTCTTTCATTGATTCGCTGTTTTGTCACATCGAAGAAGAACTCATTGACACTTTCGGCAGCAAATGAAAGGCCCAACAAATTGTTCAACTTTCTCGGCAATAACATTATTGGGATGGTCCGGAACAACGGGAATTCAAAAAACCTTTTAGCGTTTACTATGAATGGATTGTTGGGGTCTTTATGTGAATTAGTTTTGGTGGCGAAGGCACACGTGGCGATCACATCCATCGTGAAGTTCCCCATCATATCCTTGATGTTGATATCCTTGCCATCCTTGGCGTACACTTCCAAGTGATCCAAGAACTCAGTCAAACACTCCCTAATCATTGGATACATTTTCTTCATCTTTCCCGACGTAAAGGTAGGGCTGAGTATAGATCGCAAGCGTTTCCAGTCTTCGCCCCGGGAGTTAAACAGATGTTTACTCAAAATTTTGTGCTCAACCTGTCGTACTTTGCGGTCGGAAAACAGGTGAAAGTCTTTGACCAAAACATTTTTAATGAGTTCCGGTTCGCCGATTGTAATTATGGGCTCAGTCTTATTAAAAACACTGAAAAATCATAAAGATATAATATAATAATAATATTATTTTACCCCCGGTATTTATAAGTATGGAAAATTTTATAATCATATAAGTAGTACAATAGTAACATACCCGTATAATTTTCCATATTTTTTGAACCAATCAAATTCCACATTAACCATGGGTTTGAGTATGCTGTACATATTTGTACCCACTATAGGGTACGGCGTCGGACCACTTAAGCCTAGTTTCTTCCAGTAGTTGAAGGTTTTGGTTAAGTACCTCACTTCCAAGTGATCCAAGAACTCAGTCAAACACTCCCTAATCATTGGATACATTTTCTTCATCTTTCCCGACGTAAAGGTAGGGCTGAGTATAGATCGCAAGCGTTTCCAGTCTTCGCCCCGGGAGGCAAACAGATGTTTACTCAAAATTTTGTGCTCAACCTGTCGTACTTTGCGGTCGGAAAACAGGTGAAAGTCTTTGACCAAAACATTTTTAATGAGTTCCGGTTCGCCGATAGTTATTATGGGCTCAGTCTTATTAAAAACACTGAAAAATCATAAACAAATAATATAATAATATTATTATACCACCGGTATTTATAAATATGGAAAATTTTATAATAATATAAGTAGTACAATAGTAACATACCCGTATAATTTTCCATATTTTTTAAACCAATCAAATTCCACATTAACCATGGGTTTGAGTATGCTGTACATATTTGTACCCACTATAGGGTACGGCGTCGGACCACTTAAGCCTAGTTTCTTCCAGTAGTTGAAGGTTTTGGTTAAGTACCTGTTCATAATTCATTTAAACCAATATATAATTAAACATACAATTATCATATTAGATTTTAATTATTACATACATATAGATGAATGGTAGCGCCGACAATAGGGTCAGGCTTATCCATGACGTCCATGATAGGGGTCCTAAGACATCCATTACTTTAAAATAATTTTAATTTAATATAAGAGTTGTTAATTCAAATTGCTTATTGATACATAAATTGAGTTTTCAACTTCACGGCTTTTTATACTGTACAATATGAGTATCAGACTATGGGTAGACCATGGGATGGTTATGATAAGATAAACTCTAGGGGGAGTTCAGTGCGCAATTACCTATTAAAAATATATTTTCAGCTATTTTACATAATTAAAAAATCTACAATTTATTCAATTGTATTTGCTTGTAAAAATTTGATTTTTTTATCATTTTAATCCAATTCTGCTAATAAGTGCTGGATTAGTGTGCCCCTAACATCCCTGTGCCGTTAAAATGTTTAAAAGTACCAGTCGCACTCAATTTAATAAAACCCAAGTAACTTTGTATGCGTTGTGATTATCAGAAAAGTACTCTAAATCTGATTGTACATAAACCATAAACATTAGAGTGGAAAAAATACTTATTTTCCGTCCTGTTTCATAAAACATGTATTATAGGATGTATTGGTATATCGTGTATTATTCATGTATTTTTTAAATAAGCATCAATAATAGTAAATAACCTTTAAAATGAATTTATATCATACAGTACTTATTCAATCGTTATTCCAATTTTATCACTAAAATGAATATTTATCTAATTAAGAATAAATTTTTAAAATGTTTTGCTAGTTCAATTTTGAATTGAGCTCAGTTTTTGATATTTTGTTGTAAAGATTGGATGAATTCTTGTCATCCATTTTGGAAAAAGTTTTCTTGAATTGAAGTGAAAACACATGAATTGGATTTACCCTAATAAACATTGTATAAACATGCTCTATGAACGCACCGATTTAAAAGTAACTAACATATTATGATGTTTAAGTAAAATGAGTACATTTTTAGCATTATAATCTTTGAGAAAATGTACCCAAATGTAATTAATTATAAAATAGTTGTATTGATATTAAACAAGTTGTCTATACTTATGTCTTAAGACCTGACACTATAAACAGTATTTTAGCAATTAAATTAAATAACTTTGAGACCTTGAATCTTGTTTATGAAAACAGAAATTTGAATTTAGTATTTAAAGGAAAATTATTAGTTTATATTTTAGTGCAAAATTTTAAGTGCATATTTTTATAATCTTAATAATATATCAAAAACTATAACATATTTTTTTATAACACAAACATCACAATTTAATTTATAATTTGTATTAACAAGATAAATTCAAATTATCAATACAGTATTCATTTACAGTTTATCAATAGGCTATTTGTTAATTTTAATCAAATAACGCTTTTGTTCATTACTATTAATTTTAGATACAATACTGTAGGAATATAATATTTAAATAATTAATCTTGTACCGAAATTTAAATAACTTAAATTATAAAACGGAAATTTAAAAATAAAATATACTACTTTATAGTTTGCCAATTATTTACCAATTATAAAATATCTCAATATAAATAACATAAATATCTTAAGCAAATAACTTATGATCAATTCATATAATATAAACATAACCCCTAACGCACTGCACATCACGTAAACTGTAAGAATTGAATGAAAATTATTTATATCTAAAGCTTTCCAATCATCCAATGATTTAACATAATTATCAGGGAAATATTGTTTATACCAAAAGTCAATCAAACCGTTAGAGTTTAAATACGATATTCTGAAATAAATACAATAATTTACTTCACGATTTACTGTACTATTACTTTACTTGAAACATACATTTGATTGAGCCTTTTCTTATAGGGAAAGTTTTTGCGCAAAAACATTGTGTTCAAAATCATTATAAACGATGTCTGATCACTAGCCGGTGGCATATAATTAGTGGTTATGTTGTAGTGTTTCAGTTTAGATAGTAATTCCTTTCGCAAACCCACCATGGAATATTTATCAGGTGACCCTGTTGCCTTTTCAAATATATTACCGGTAGAATGATTTTCAATCTTAATAAAATTTTTCAACTGTTGAAACAAATCGTCTTCTGTATACTAAAAATATAAATTCATTGAAAACAATTATATAGTATTTTATATTGTACTATAAAATAATAATCAATACCTTCGACACAAAAGCAAATAATGTACCATTACTCATTAATATCTGTACATGATAATCTTTACAATAATTAAATAGTTCACCACTAGATCTAATTTTAATCTCTTGCAAACGTGTTATAATTGAATAAATTATATTTGAATAAAATGTGGTTAATATAAAACACGCTAATATCCAAACACTGATTATTAATTTGACCCGAAATGTTTTCATGAATTTCATATCAAGTGATTGTTTTATAAGAATTGTTAACAAATGCCATAATACTGAGAATCCAATGCTAGTCTTTCCTTTGATTAGATTAATAGTTGCATATAATAATAGTATGGAGGTTATTATTAGAGTCCAGGTCAATGAATCAAATATCTCGGTCATGTTATTAAATATATAAAGTCTATGATTGAGTCGAGGGACAGTAAACGTGTAGAAATCAATGTCATAGGGATATAAGTACTCAATTGATTCGTGGCGTTCAGCAGTTAACGTGAGGCCACCCATTCCTATATCAGCTTGCTTAAATATACCATAAATTACTGGCAAAATTAAATAACTTTATATCTAATAAAAATATCATACATTTTTGACCAACATGCCAACGATCCCGGTCCAAACATTATTTTTACCTTTACTACCCCATTCATTTTTGCAGTCGATTATGTCGTATGTGAAATTTATAGCTTTGTGAAATACGTTGAATATATTAAAGTCCAGCCCTTTTATGAAATGACCAGCACCGGTATTATTTAAATATACAAATGGTGGTCGCTTTGAAAATTAATTATTTAGTCAATTATACATAATTATTATGATTATTATTTAAGATAATTATTTTATAATTACATGATTAGTTGCAATAATTAAGTGATCTATTTTGTTTGACATTTTTAGAAATATGAATTTAATTTATAACTTAGTATTTATTAATATTTTACATAATTTTTAACATTTAATGACATTTAATAAAATTTAATAAATTAATTTAATGACAAAAATAAATGTTTAATTTATCAAAAAAGTCACTATTTGTTTAATATGCACTATATTTAAATGAAATATTACTTATAATAATAATATTGATTTATGTGTCAACAATAAATAACACACAAAAAATAATTTAATAATTTGATTAAACAAGAAATACAAAATAATTCAGAAATAATAACTTGTTGATAAAAAAAAGTAACTTAAAATGAACACAAATGTAAATAATGTAAACTTCTTTTCATTTCTGTGATTAATTGCTTTTATTGAATTAAACTCATCAATATAATTTCAATTTAAAATTTAATGACAATCAATAAAATTTCTCTTATCATCCAATGGCAGTCCATTAGTACAGAAAATCCCATAGACTTGTGAACTAAACTCCGATTTCTTAAACCAAACATTTCTGCATTCATTGCAATCGATTTGAGACACAATTTCATGTCTTTTATTTTGTGTGAGAAACGGAGCGAAAAACGTTTCATTCAAATATTGAATGTTCTCATTATTCTTGAAAATTAATGAGACGGGTCCTCCTATATCATCAAACATATGTTCATTGAAACCATTATCATTGAACTCGTTATCAATGAATATAAGCCTTAGGTTTGTGTCCAAAACACTCCGATTCACTGCAAACGCATTGTTATCAATACGAGAGATATTGAACACTGTATTCAATTCAAGTGTTTGTAATGAATGCAAATTCCTGAACGCATTGCTACCGATTCTCTCGAAACTATCAAACCCTATGATAATTGACCTCAAATTCTGTAGACTATGAAAGGCATTATCAGGCAATTGTTTTAGGCCTATACCAGCCAGGGTCAAGTATTTAAGTGATTGTAGCGAATTAATTGCTGCGAATATATCATAGTCAGTATCATTATATTGTATAGGTGTGTCATTTATCATCAAGTCCTCGACCACAGTATGGGTGCCATTGAATGCGTTTGAATGGATACGACATTCATGAATATGAAATTCAATTGATTTAAATTTAATGTCTGAAAATGCGTTTTCAGGAATGGTTGTTGTACCAAGGTGAACTTCATAAAATAATTCTCCAAACGTTTTCTCATTTTCTGCCAATTCGTCACTCATTTTCTTGAAGATTGTTTTGACATCCAGTTCCTCTTTAACTGCACATTGAATAAGTTTGTCGACAACNGTTGTTGTACCAAGGTGAACTTCATAAAATAATTCTCCAAACGTTTTCTCATTTTCTGCCAATTCGTCACTCATTTTCTTGAAGATTGTTTTGACATCCAGTTCCTCTTTAACTGCACATTGAATAAGTTTGTCGACAACGTTATCATTGCAAACGCACGGGGCTATTGTTTCTGGTCGGGGACATTTACCACACAAAATATACCCATTCATTAAAACTAATACAGAAATTATTTGCCATATTACGCTGATTGCTAAATAATATTTATAAAATTAGATTTATTTTGATTGATAACAATATATTTTGATTATATTTATTAAACTACTTACATATACAATTCATGTTTAATTTCAATTTTCACACTTTTGGAAATAATAAAAGTTAAATTAAATGTTTTGATATTTATAGTAAATAATAGAAATAATTATATGATTAATCCATGTAATGATAATAATTAAATACTAACTTAATCGAGCAAATTATTATTGCATACTAATCTGGTAACATTGTACAATTGTAACATGTTCTTTTAAGGACTTTGAGAGTACCAAGTACCTAAATGATTATAATAAGTTATAATATTACCTTATCAATTTGTAATTGATATAATTATACAAGTAAAGATTTGGTAACATTGTACAATTGTAACATGTTCTTTTAAGGACTTTGAGAGTACCAAGTACCTAAATGATTATAATAAGTTATAATATTACCTTATCAATTTGTAATTGATATAATTATACAAGTAAAGATTTCTAATAAGCAAGTACATTACAGTA